CACAGATTTTACTTACAGCTATCCATTACGCAGAATAATAATAACAAGAGTCGCCAAAAATAGTACGAAACGTCATGTTTTGAAATGGACGAACAGAAATAACATATTGCACGTGTTTATCAGATGTATTGTTAGTTACGCTGAAAATGATGACACCCCGGTGAGAGAAACGAGACTTCGGACGCATTAATGCTGCCTCCGTGGTATGCTTATAAATATAAAGAACATGGACTGAAGTCGGGAAACGCTACTATCGAGCAACCTTTATACCCCTCCAAATATGATACACGTCTTTTAAAGGTGTGAAGAACCATTATTCACAATTTCAAATAACTTTTGGAAAACACTCTAACACTGTGGTGGAACGACAGGCGGCGACTGGCTAGTCGCTTGGAGCACACCAACCGGCCGTTACTTTGTCGCGAGTGGTCAGCATTCTAACTCAATGGACACGATTGCCCACTGAACTGCGGCTGGGTCCGCCGATATGTTGGGTCGTTCGTTTTGCCAGCTCGAAAACCATTACGGCTTTAAAGGATCAATGAAATGAATTTTTCGTAAAATCACTTCTTGTGTATCTCTGTACTCTTCCTAAATGTGTGAAGACTGTTTGACTTTTTGTTTTGAGTAACGTGAACTGGAAAAAATTTTCTTTTTAAACTTTCCAAATTGACCAAGCATTAACCAAGCAGGTGAGGGCGCTTTTCCTTTGATGTAAATCAAGGAAGGCATGGTTCAGTTTGCTGTTTTCATGTTCAAATTAGTATCTGAAAATATTTCTGTGAAAAGGTTGCTTGCTTTCTTATTTCCACATCCTTACACGACAACAAATTGCCAAAGGAAATGAAATATATGATAGCAGTGTTAAAAAAGAATCTAAAAATTTTCTGTGCACAAATCAGTGCAACATTGAGGCTCGGTGCCTTGGATGACATCATAGTTTTGCTCATGAATATGCAAACCATTAGCATAAAAACTAAAAAAGCTCCAAAATATGGGTTACAATAATTGCAAAACAAAAATTTAAAATCTGGTAAATTGAAACCGGGAGGTACAATTTCAAGGGTTTGGTAAAAAACGGCAAAATATTTTATGGTCCCTTTTAGACGTTTAATTTGCTCATGTCCAGAAAATTTAATAAAAGACAGTATTTTTTATACAAATCCACTAAACTCTGCTTTTGATGGAAACATCGTACACTGGCTTGAATATACTTTTAAATAGAACGAACGAAGTATGGAGAACATGGACTGTGCCCGATGACCATTCTATTTATAGTCCTGAATTGCATGAAAGGGTTTCGACTGAAAATTTTGGATCGTGACCTCTTGATTGATACAAGGGTTAATAAAAGTACATTTACAATCAAAATTTTACTGGCTCTTGACTCTTACACGGAATCTAATCGAATACCTCGGCTATTGGCATGTGGTAATTCCTAATATTCGGTGGAATAATGTACTTTGAGTAGCGTTTCTTCTACAGACCTAAATCCACTCACAATTTTCATTCCAGTGTTTCTTTTGAAGTTCTAGAAATGGACGTTTTCAGGCTCTTTGTCCTGACACCGATCTCGGTCAAACTTCTTCTGGCAACTGTGTTCTTGTTCTTTTTGTAAGTAATTGCATACTTATTGTCATTCTTTACTATGCTTCTCCTGTAAAGTGAGACCTAAGACATTCTAATTCTTTGAAATTTACTTGTTGTGAATCCAGTGTGAAGATCTGCTTCTCAGTTTTTCTTTAAAGGGTTCGTGCAAAGTTTTTTAAATTAGTCTGTTAAATCCATTATTGGATTCATTTCACCTTATTTTCAATTTTTCTGGCTTTTATAATGGTGCCCTTTTGTGTTATTATTTAGCAGATTTCCACGATTAAATGTAAATGCGAAATTGGGATCCCGTGTCAAAGACTTTCTGGCGGTATATTTACATAAAAGAATAAATATGTGATTGGCTGTGCGTTTAAATCTGGCTCAGGAAAATGGACGTGACGAATGCCCGAAACTCTGTTTCTTTTCAGCTATGACTGGTGGCGCCATCAGTATTTTCAGAGGCGTGGCATACCGGTAGCTGACTACTTTCCAGTCGTTGGAAGCATTATGTTTCTGCGACAGGTAACCCTTTCCTTGTCTGAAACC